ATGTCTGAAATGATTGACAAATATGGGATTAGTTTTGAGGCAGAGATCAGTTAGGGATTTATTATGATATACTATTTCAAGGGTAAATGGCAAAGGCTTGAAAACAATGGCACTGGGATTGGAAATAAAGGGAAATATGATAAATAACAAGGCAGTAAGATGGGCAAGACTGGTGTTCTGTTGGATGTGATGGATAGATGACTTACAGTTTTCAAACTAGTCAACCGTGACAATAGAGGTGCTAGGGCCAGCTTCACGAATATTCAGCCTGTGCAGTCACATGGGGTCTTGTATGCAGAAAGGCCCGATACTTGGCTTATTGCTCTACTGCCAATGTCTTGAAATCTTTAACAATCTTGAGCAAGGGTGCTTATTTTCATTTTTCACTTTGAGGGCAAATTACAGTGCTGGTTCTGAGTATTACTATTCACCAGGACTTGGAATGATGAAAATTAGTTTTGTTCTCATTAGAAAATAAGTGACAAGTATAGCTTCTGTTACCGGGAGACTCTGCTGGGGCTCGGGACTGCCTGTCGCTGTATCCAATTCAACGGAGGCAGGGTTGAATCATATAAGGCATTTATTGAGAAGGCCGGCCAATCAAGAAGACAGGGAGCATGTGAGCATCCAAAACCTGCCTTAAGGAGTGGCCTGAGGGATAGGGCTATATGGGGTAAACTGAGGCTGGGAATGGAATGCAGATACATGCAGTCCTGGAAGAAATTCTTTTGACCTTGGTTGCCTGGGGATGTCTCCATAAGGTGATGTCTTCACTCTTTTGATCTTGGTCCCCTGGCAATGTTTAGATAAGGTGATATCTTAACCCATTGTTCTCAGCCACCTTCTTAATTGATTCAGTCTAGGATCAAAGCGAGTGTAGGGTGCAAAGGCCTAGGAGAAAGAAGCCTAAGGAAAAAAACCCTTAAATCCCCACTTACATAAGTATATGTGTTCTACAATTTTATAAGTAATATAATTATATTCAGATTAATCCAGGTGCTCAATATTTGGAAATTATAAGTACCCTTATCACTTTGACTTGTCACTTGGCCGGGGGGTTCCCTGCTGAAGACCTTGAGCTAGTTGCTGGAAGTTCTGCAAGCCTTTGCCTCTGCTTTAATGGAAGGTATCTAGTATATGCTTGGTGTGTTAAGATATTTCATATGAAGCCTCTGTAAAGCAGTCAAGCAAAGATGGCAGGAGAGATTCAACTAGAAACAATGTTGGGATTCATCAGCCTAGAGATGATGGATGTTGTCTCAGAGTAGATTAGATCACCCAGGTACTTGGAACAAAGTGAGAGGAGAAGGAAGTCAGGACCTGAACTGTGGAGATTACCAACAGTATAAACAGTAACCAGAAAAATGGGAGATAATAACCAAATAAGGAAAGTCTTGCCTCAAGGGATTAAGAGTGAGGACTTGGAAGTCAGATTGTTGGTGCTCCAGTCCTAACTCCATCATTTACAAAAAGTATGTCCTCAGGCTTTTACTTAACTTTTCCAACCTGCAGTTTCCTCAAATGAATTATGGGACTAATAATAGTGCCTAACTCACAAGGCTGCTGTGGGGGTTCAATGAGACATTTCATGGAAGGTGCTTACAATAGGATGTAGCACAGAAGAAAAATCAGTGTGTTAACTATTAGTTTTTTTCTTATTAGTTTTTACTCTTTTTTCCCTTTCTTTTTTCTCTCTCTTTTTTTTATTGTACAACAAGAAGAAATATATGTCATAGGAGAAGGCAAGAGGAGAAGAGGGTTTTTTTTAAAAAAAAGAACAAGAAATACCAGATGCCTGAATAATTAATCAAGGAATGGACTAGGAAATCCCATTGAGTTTATGAACCAAGAAGTGATTAATGAGTAATGAATGAACAAAGAAGTAACTAAGGTCAGATAGAAGCACATAAGGACACTGGGGTCAAGAAAATCCCAGTGTACTAGTACTGTTTGGGTCGATTGTTCTTGACAATTCAGATTTTGGGCTTTGTCAATTGGAAACTAAAACTATGTATATCTGATTTTTGTACCAGTAAATATAAAATGATATCTTACTTCTTTCTTTTCTGAACACTCCTTGGTCCATTTCCAAAAGGCCTTAACACCCAGTCTAAGAGAAATAAGCCTACTGTGATTCATTGGAAAGCTAAACTCCAACCCCTATTGTTAAAAGAGGAAGTTTCTGGGTACAATTAAGTATGACTAAGTTCCTTCTGATAAACAAGAAAGATGCCAAGCAGAGCTTCTGGAGTGTACGGCCACTGCATTCCTTACTGCAAGGCTGAGCTTACAGTGGACCACAGAAACTAGCACAAACCTCTACCCGGCATTAAGATTCCAGTTCTAAAAATATAGGGTCCACAATAAGACTCTGACAGAGTATTCATTTAACCAACATTGACTGAGCTCCAGACACTGGACTTGCTACTAAAGGAAAATGAAAAATTGGGTTAGATTTGGGTTCTACAAGGAGCTTACAATCCAACAGACAAGATGAGACAAATACGTCAGTAACAATTAAACCAGGCAGGACTTGATATGTGATACGAAAGAAGTCTGAGGTGATTGCAGAATTTAACACAGCTAAAAATGTGTTTGTGGATCAGATGATGGACACCCTCGAATGCTGGGCAAGGAAATTTCAACTTTATTCAATTTACAGCGAGGAGCTCTTCAAAGGTTTTATGGCAGGACCTAAGATGTACCCTGACCCACAAGTACTATGGATCCAAACCTGGTGAACAAGAAAGATCAAAACTAAATAAGCAGACTTGGGGACCTAAATCATAGAATTGATGGTTAAGACCAGATAGAAGCACATAAGAACACTGAGATCAAGAAATAGTTATAATCACACTACAAATATTTATATGTTCAGGGTTGAAATAGAAAAAGGAGTAAGTGGTTTAAACAGAAAAGATATAGTCAGGATGGTAGGAAAGAAAACCAAAAAACCCATAATATTAAACAGAGATTTAGGTTCAGAGACATAGAAGCATGGAACAGACTGATGAATCTCAGAGGGAAGGGTGGAGATGGAAAAGATTAACCAAAAAACTTACATGCATATGTGCATAACCCATGGACACAGATAACAATGCAGTGAAAGCTTGGGGTGGGATGGGAACTGGACGGAGAGGGGTAATAGGGGAAAAATGGGGAACAGCTATAATACTCTAGACAATAAAGGTACATTTAAAAAATAAATTTAAAAAGGATTTCTAGAATAAGGGGGAAAGAGCATGAGAAAAATAACACTTACTGTTATCTGTAACATGCTACACTTAACGGTATTTCCTACAGATGTGGAAAGGGGTTCAGAATTAAAATTCTCACTTTGGTCTTCCACTTGTTAAAAAGCCACATCACCGAGAGCTGACAGCATAGGGATTCTTACTGAGATAGGTCTGGCTGAGTCAACAGTTGCAAGATTCTGGGCTCAGACACAGTGAGTCAGAATTCTACTCCAATTCTAATGTGAACTCCCAGGATGACATTTGCAAGTCATTTCACTCTCATAAATCTCAGGTTTTTCATAAGTTTAATGAGGATATTGAACTAGGTCATTTATTCTATAATGTTCCTTTCAGTTCTGATATTTTATGATCTTATGCTTTTATATTGTTACAATAATTTCTTGAGAGGGTGCAGAGAAGTAGACAAAAAATGATGACTGGCATAAAAAAACCTGGGTCATTTTTAAATCGGAAATTTCAGGAAAGAAGATGATTAAACATACCAAGTGTGAGAAGTTGCATTTATTAGGCATAAGAAGCTGAACTTGGAGACTGATTGAATATTGGGCTGAGTGGAAACAGATACCTGAGGATGGCTGTTAGGTGTCTGATGAACCATGAATCAATTAGGCTATTTTTTGACATACAACCTTCAAAATTCAACCCTTTGTGGGAACTGTTAAAAGAAATATCAGAGCACTTCTTGCTCTTAGCTTTTATATTTACTTAAGAGAATAGGAGGAAGGAAAAGATGTGGATAGATAAATTAACTTCTGAATAAATTTGTTTACAGCCTATGACCTAGATTCGGGGCGACAGGTGGAGTCTTCAGAATTCTCACAGTGCAGATCTGTGGCCTGGAAGTTACCATTCCATATTACAGTGACTTCAAACCATGATGGCATTTTTGACAGGCAGCCTGATTTAATGAACAGAGCAATGGCTTGGAAATCAAGATACCTCATCTCTAATCCTCACTCTGTTGTTAATTAGTGGTGTGACAATGGTCAGGGTTATTCACATGGGTGTGCCTCGGTTTGCTAATCTGTAAAATGGATCTGGTAGTACCTACTTCATAGGTAAAATCATGCATATTAGTGATTCTCAAAAGATGTTTGATAGAAGTTGAGGGTTAAGTTAAATGATCTGTTCAGGCTCTTCTCAAGTTTGTTAGTATTTACTATTTCACTTTTTATTTTTATTTTATTTTTTAAAATATATCTTTATAGATTTCAGAGAGAGAAAAGGAGAGGGAGACAGAGAGATAGAAACATCAATGATGAGAGTCATTGATCGGCTGCCTCCTGCAAGCCCCCGACTGGGGATCAAGCCCGCAACCCAGGCATGTGCCCTGACCGGGAATCAAACCCCAATCGTCTGGATCCTAGGTAGACTCTCAACCGCTGAGCCATGCCCGGCCAGGCTATTTCACTTTTTAANATGTGCCCTGACCGGGAATCAAACCCCAATCGCCTGGATCCTAGGTAGACTCTCAACCGCTGAGCCATGCCCGGCTGGGCTATTTCACTTTTTAAATNACCCCAATCGTCTGGATCCTAGGTAGACTCTCAACCGCTGAGCCATGCCCGGCCAGGCTATTTCACTTTTTAAATATATATATATATCCTCCTCTAATGTGCTTAAAGATTTTTTCTTATGAAATTATGAACTATTGTTTTTTTTTAAGTAAATTGAAGAAATTATAATCTTAGAATATATTGTTCAATATTATTCAAACTACATGCAAAACACTTCTGAGGAGTGATGTGCATCGAGTCCTGTTTCCTACTCTACTCACCACCAGTCACGGAAATATCCATCTACATGTAAGTCACTTCTGGTTTAAATAGTTACTCCTTTGGGATAAAGACCTAATTGTCAATGTTCACTGTGGGTCAGATTCCTATCAGGGTATTTGGAATCAGCCATAACCAACTTGTCTCTGGGTTTAAAACCAATCTTCTCATAATACAAGCCTATGGGAAAAAGAAAAAAAAAAAAACAACCAATTTTTTCCTGAGGTGCTTCTGTTTGCCTGTTTGTTTTAATGAGCAATCTTTGTTTACTCAGCCTTGTGTCAGAGAAGGTCTGGAATTCAACCTCAGACCAAGGTTCTCCCCTGCTTCTGGGGTACTACGCAACTAACTGAAATGAAAAAAATGCTATTTTGAAGCTCCCTTAACCTGGGTCTTTGATATATTTGGAGCAGTTGTTTCTTCAGTAGCAGCTTCAGTGCAGATACTTCAAACCAAATTATGGAACTTCCAAGTCAGAATTTAAAGACAACACCATCATTATCTTTAGGAAGATTTCACATTTCTGAAGACTGTGGTTTTCTTCTTCCAAATCCTCTGGTAAGCATAGAGCCTTTGATCAGGTCAAAATAGGTTTGTTGAGTTGCTGATTTGTTGTTTGTTTGTTTGTCTGATTTATGTAGTCATTAAGAAAGATACAATACAAATACCAAGTCGCTGACCTAGGAAGAATACTACACATAATGCATGGCATAATTACCAACAAAAGAGAAGTGATAGCTACAGCAGAGGACAGTCCAAATGGAAGGTTTTAATGCCAGGTTTTTGTTTTGTTTTGCTTTGTTTTTGTAATAGGTTGTTGGTTCAAGAAACTTATGAGAAAATCCAGTGGTTATCAAAAAAAGACAGAACTTAGGTAGAGATCAATTATATGAGTTAACCAGTTTGTCTTGACTTGCTAGTGGGACAGAAAAGAACACAGGGGACCTTGAGTGCTTTTAGGGCTGGTAGGAAGGATTAGATATTTACAGAGAAGAGGAAGAAAATGTTGAGAAAAAAGAGTACCTATTTCTTAATTCAGCTTAAGGTTCAACCTGTAATGTAATTCTATTTGATCAGTTAACCCTTATCAACACAGTTTCCTCTTTGAATGTAGCCTGAGGCCTACAAAACTGTAAGAATTCATAGAACCCACAACCGCTACCTTCTACATTTTGGCTAGCTGAAGTTTAGAGGAAGTGGTTTGTTCAAAGTAACATTAGAGACAAAAGCAGAACTAGTGCTCAGGACTCTCAACATTTTCCCATTACATCATAAATAAGGGGCAAGGCCACTCAGTTAAAATCTAGGGATCCAATGTTACTATCATTGCAATAACTTATTAGATCCAAGTTTTTCCTCCCATAGGCCTAAACTGCCATTTAACTGTGATTAAAGAATGGTCTATAATTTAATGGGCTTTTATTTTGAACATCTACTCTGACGTTTATTTATTTCTGAGTGTTACTAGAGGAATACAGATGAAGACAGGATCCATTCACTGGTCCCAAAAGCTCTGATGTAGAGCTGTTAGTTATGAGACCAAGTGAGAAGTCTTTGAGTAACTTGGGCATTAAAAGTAATAACTTCAGGGTGTTATGCAGAGTGGGATTGCAACCTTGAATTACAGGACTGTTTTTTGACACTGCCACTAGGGTCTCCAAGAATCTCTGTTTATTAGGAACTGATAGTTCCCAATGAAACTCCCAAGATGTGGGATTTTCGTGTTAAACCAGGAAAGTCCTGGGCAAACCAAAATGTGTCAGTTATCTTAACTTGCACTTCTAAACTCTTGGCTCTTTCAATGAGTCACAAGTATTGCCAGACCCTCAGCTTTCATACCTACTGGATGGAGATCTAGTGCTGCCCCCACCCACTGGATTGCTATGGAGCATGAAAGCACTTTGATAAATGCAGTGCAAGGACTAAGAAGCCAGTTCTCCTGATCCTCAGTCCAGTGCTTGTTAAAAACGCCATTCTGTGTGTGTAATTTGACTCAGGAATATTCCCATTACCCCTAGTTCACACAGAGGAAAAGTCCCAGAGACCAACAAGCTTTTATTGGGACTAAATGTGTACACTGAGGCTGAGGAAAAATATTACAAAATATATAAACTTTGGGTAGGGCCACAATTATTGAGTTCCTCTCTTTGTTATTTCTTTTTTTATATAAATTAAAGACAGAGAGAGAGAGAAAGAGAGAGAGAGAGAGAGAGAGGGNATTGAGTTCCTCTCTTTGTTATTTCTTTTTTTATATAAATTAAAGACAGAGAGAGAGAGAAAGAGAGAGAGAGAGGGGGGGAGAGAAACAAGAACATCAAGTGTTTGGGATGTTCTGATTCAAACCATCTTTGTCCTGTGATTTGGTTGATGGATATCCTTTAGTAGAAAGTTCCATATGAAATTGCCATATAAAAAATTTCATATAAAAAATTTCCTGGCAAACTGGGTCTACTCTATTATAGTCATATGCCAGGTCTCTGAAACTGTATTTGTTTGGTTCAGTTTTAGTTTCCTCTCATTTGTGTGAAAAATTTAAACATCTCCCTTTCTGGGAAGAGGTAGGGGAAGTAAGAATCTGCTTTGGGCTATCCACTCATCAGGAGGGACTTTGTCATCAGCCTGGCCAGGCAGCAGCACTGTTGCAATTTATGAGAAGGGTAAACATCAGTCACTGACTTTGCTAAGGGCATGAATAAGCTTTGCTTTCTTTTCATTTAAAGCAGGTGATGGGAGGGCTGTTCCTCTAAGTCAACTGGCTCAAAGATGCTCTTTCATCAAACTTAGTTGGTTACTGTGTTTACTTCACAGCTTCTCTGAAAATACAGTCAAGCTATGAGACTAAGCAAACATTCTGGGTTTGGGGAGAAGAGGCTGACTTGGCTTCAGATTCTCTACTCCACTATTTCTATAAACGCTCAAGCATTTCCAGGATCCAATGTTTCAGTTTGGAAAATGTATACATCTCAGACTCATGTCCATAAATAGGACATGAAAATCTTTTACCAGATTGAGTGTGTGTGTGTTAGGTTTGAGTAATTTTTCTTTAGTCAGAAGGAATCTGAGGAATTTAACTTGGCAGGAAAGGAGGGATCAAGTTGATTATAGTAGGAGGTTAGATTGGAGTAGAACTGAGTTCTTGAAAATTAGCCTCAGAAATTTGGATTTTATACATCTGGTAAATGACATGATGCAACTGGAATTTGAATATTTTCCAAAAAGAATGTTAAGTGCAGTGCTGGTTAGAGCAGTAGTTCCTGGACTGTACACCACAACCAATCGGGGAGCTTTAAAAAATATTGATGCCAGCCTTGGCCATCAGTATAATTCAGTTGGTTACTGCATTGTCCTGATACTCCAAGGTTGTGGTTTGATGCCCAGTCAGGGCATATACAAGAATCAACCAATGAGTGCACGAACAAGTGGAACAACAAAAATCAATCTCTTTCCCTCTCTCTCTCCCTCTCCCTCTCTTTCAAATCAATCAATAAATTTAAAAAAATTAAAAAAACAAACACCTGATGTCAGAGCCCCAACCAGAATAGTTAATTCAGAATCTCTAGCCTAAGTGGCTCGGTATTTGAAAAGCACAGAGTACGTAAAGGACGGTGCAGGCCCAAATGAGAAATGAGGGCTCGGCTCAAAAGGCTGGGTGTGGAATTAAAGGTCCTGTGTCTATGAGGAACACTGAGAAGGGTCTTGGAAGTAGTTTAAATACAAAACAAAGGAAAAGAGGACTTTTAAATGCGCCATGGAGCAGAAGAAAAGAACTGGTGCAAATTGTCATGGGGATGTAAGAAACTTTATTCTTTATAGTGATCAAGCAACAGTTTAGAAAAATTAAAAAACATATATACTCTCCTGTAGAAATTCAAAACGCTTAATAGAAGCAACGGACTCTAGCTGCTTAAGAGGAAGAGGGGCAAAATAATTGCCGCAGGAAGCTATAGTTTCCAGGTAGAAGGTATAGGTATGAGGAGTCAGATATTTCCCCCCAAAATTGTCAGCTCTGCTAGGATCTGGAGCTTGCCTGATCACGTTGAGCAGAAATTTGAGGCAATGATGGCAATATAATAGAAATAAAAACAAAGAAACCAAACTTCATAATGGTTAATGTTGATGGATAAAGAAAAATGTGTTCGGGGTGAAGGAGGTTGGATGGGTATGGATTTCTGTGCCAAAACTTAAGAACCAAGAAAGGTGAGTAGAACCAAAGGGGAAATGGACAGAGATAAGGAGAAGCCGTAAGAGGGGCAGCCAAGATAGTTCTCTGGAAGCCAAGATTTTAAACAATGAAGCAACTTAGAGTTTTCTCACGCAAGATATTTAAGCAGTAGAGAAACTGAAACAACATGGGGAGAGGTGAGCTGCCAGACCCTAAGCTAAAAGCATGAAAGCATTAGGCATAAAAAAATACACATCTGCTACTTTCAGTCCACATGAAGCTCAGGAAGTGTATTAGTTTTCTTGAGCTGTTGTAAGAAATTATCACAATTTTGGTAAACTTCAAGGGAAATTTATTCCCTCAGAGTTCTGGAGGTCAGAAGTTTGAAATCAGGGTGCCCATAGACCCGTTCTCCCTCCTGAGTCTCTAGGGAGAATCCTTCCAGCCTCTTCCATCTCCTCGTGGCTCCTGTGGTAGAATGACTCCACTCCCTGCCTCCCTCTCCACATGGTCTTCTTTGGGTCTGTCTTCTCCCCTCTTTCCATCTTCTAAGGACACTAGTCATTGGATACCCTAATCCGGGATGATCTCATTTTGCAACCTGTAGCTAAATTACATCAGCAAAGACCCTTTTTCCAAATATGTCCAAGTGGACATATCTTTGGAGGGGGGCACCATTCAATTCACTATGGGGAGTGAGGTAAAAAGATAAAGAATTAGAGGGAAGGAGGGACCTGGACAATGAGAAGTAAAATACTGTTTTGCCCTGAGATTCCCAAGCCTAACCATACAGGCATGGGCGGGTGAAAAGGGATGAAAGTGACACGTGACACAGTTCAACATCACTGGTTTTGTCAGCACAACGCTAACCCACATTCACCAGTATGACCTTGATATGCTGAAGAAAATTCACACCCTATGCTGGTAAAATTATAGCTTTAAGGTCAGAGGAAAGCTAGAATATGAGACTCAATATGGGCAAAGGGTAGGCAACTAAGTTAGGCGACTTGCGCTCAAGTGCAGCCTTGTTTTTATACGTGACCACAGTAATTCTGTAACTGCAGTTACAAGGGAAAGGAATCTTCTCTCTTGCATAAATTTAAAGAGATAAACTAGAATCATGTTTCTAACACTGTGGCCTGCAGAGTGGGGAGAGGGAAGAAGTACAAAGACATAATTGAGAGTGCATAAATACCAAGAAATTCCGTGTTTGATTCTCTGACTAGATATAAAGATAAAATTCTTATGTTGCAATAATAACTTGTTATTGAAAGACACTGTCATATGATTTTAGTTTCTTTCTTTCTTTCTTTTTTTAACCTAGGTCTTTGGATCCTTGGGAAATTATTCTCTGGGATTCATGAGAAGTTTTCCTTTAAGACGATCTTATATGTTG